TTAGTGTGTGTGTGCTCTGTGCTCATTAATCTACACGCAGCGCTGCAGTCAACAAAGTCCTGGCATCAGGCCAACCCCCCAGCACTGGGGCACTTCTGACTGCAAGTCGGGGCCCCCGAGTTGGACAAAAGTGGAAGGTGGATGGCAGAGCAGCGCACACGGCCCTGGGAGGATGCAAAGGACAGCAGGATTTAGACTCAAGGAAGACTCGGTAGAATATCTCCAAGTAGGCAATGGACAATGACAACTGAGAGGCAGCAGCAAAGGCCTGAACTGTCTGGCGTAGAGGAATCCGAGATAGAGTGGAAGGGGCATCATGAAAGGGGGTCAGAGGGGTAAGAGGCAAAACAGCTCCAGGCCCACTGAGCATAAGGCGCTGGGAGACAGAAACTAATTGATTAAGGATATGTACTCTGTGCAAATCAGACTTAGACGTGTGTGTGTGTGTGTGTGTGTGTGTGTGTGTGTGTACATATGCACCTACCAGAAAAGAGGCCAGCATCCTTCCACATTTACCCCGTTTATCAGTGATGTCATTATTTTTAAAGTCCTCCATAAATATTAGGATTACATTTTTAAATTTTTTATGAAAATAACATATGGCCTTTGCAAAAAAGAATCACACACACACACACACACACACACTCACACACACACACACACACACACACACACAGTTGTCTTCAAGTGTTTAGAGTATAACATCAACTAGTCCATTTATCACCCACTCCCCAACCCTATTCCTGATGATGCAGCACCATAAAAAGCTTCCATTAAGTTATCCCTTATCTTTTTTTGACTTTTCCCTCAAATTTCCCCTTTGTTCTCTTTCATCAAGAAATGGTCATATTTCAAACTCACAGCAGCATAAGTGAGGTGGCAGCTTTCTAGCCTCCTTCCCTGCACTCACCCATCCCCCAGCCAGTACCAGACAATTGTTCCTAGAGCACCATTTCCTCAGGAGAGCCCCACTTCACATGGGGGCCAGAACTCCATGGTCCATCCTCAGCCCTCCTATCTAACCGTTTCCCCTACCCCACATTGGTCTTACTCATTCTCCCCTCGGGTCTCTACCAGGCTGTTTCTCTGCCTGGTGCACTGTCACTGCCCATGCCAGCCCCCTTCCTCTCCGCCTTCTTTGCCCACTTCTTCTTATCCCTCAATGCTCATCTCACACTCTACCTCCTCTCCTTTCCAAAATTGTGTAGTCACATGGTTTAGCATTTATTGTTTTCTGATTATTTCAGGCATGTTAATCTCCCTCAATAAAATGATACCTCTTGAGGTTAAGAAACTTGCCTTGGCTCCATAGAATCTGACACAGTAGGCAGCTTGGGGAGACTCAGTATTCAACAAATGCATAGAAAATGACCGGACAATAGACAAAGTTCATTTTTCACTTAAATATTTATCTCTACACTATTTTGTATATAGGGCTGGCTTCCCCTCTTTTTTTTGTTTGTTTGTTTGTTTTGGTTTATGACCCTATAATTATTCCCTTTATGTCTTCATTAAAATAAAGGTGGAATTGCCTTCTGAGCAACCTAATAGGCCTGGTAAATTAACTGAATCTTTTCTTTCCAGGATAAAAATTCTTTCGTGTGTGTCCTAGAAAATTGGAGAGATATTCTTACTCTCAAAAGTCAGATAGTTAAGCCCTACCTAAGGCTTGAGACCCCTTGCTTTACACTTAAACATTTAATCCACATGCCATTTTAACAAGTCCTGAAATGCTTTCTTTTCTTTCCCTTTTTAGTGTAGAACAAAAATTTTAAAGGAAAGGGTAAATCTACTGGTGTATGGCATATGGAGGTCAAGATCTTACATAGATTTTCAGCATTAGGCAGAACAAATGGGCTGCGAGATTACCAAGAAAACAAATTCAGAGCAGCAACCTTTGAAAACTGAGAACTGCCAAATTGCTGGCAAGATGAAAACAGGGTCGCATTTGAGAAATTATGCAGTGTTGTGCTTCTTGGAGAAATGCACAGCACGGAGGAGTATCTGTGTTCTCCTCTGAAACTATTTTTAATGTTCATCATGACACCAATGGAAGCAAATCTGACTCCATGTAGAACATGCAGTAATTGTGGTAGTGGTGGGGGGAGGGGAGCTAAATGGAAATAGAGGCTCCGGGGAACCAAGTTATTTTTGAAATATCAAACAGACACATTCAGCTTGGATGCTGAAGATCACTCCGCAGGGTGAGAAAAAGTCGAAAATTTACCCAGAAAAAGTCTGCAATCACAGCACACAGAGGGCTGGATTCTCAGCAGTGTGAAGGAAGGGGAGACTTGAGAGAAAATGTCTCTCTGCTTATCATAAAAACAGCAAAATTCCCAGCATATGCTGCTATTTTACTTTTTTATTTCGACAGACCATTTGTGACTAGTTATGGGCGGGGTTGTTCTCGCATGTATGTTTCAGCCAAGAGTGATGAATGCTCAGACTATGTTTCCTGACCTTGCACGCATTTACTTCTCGTTTTTTCTCCCTCTTATGCCTTCTCTTACTGTTTTCTATCAGATGAGGTTCCCAGGAAGCTCCGTATGGGATCACATCTGAGATGTAGAGTGATTATATTTAGATATAAAATTGACCCATGTCTGAAGTGTGTTTCCTTATTTTCTTTATTTGTTTTTACATACACAAGAGAGCAAGCCAATGAGAATTTAAGTACCATAAGATCAATAAAGAAGCAAACTCATACTAATAAAAATGCAACCTCTATATCCATACTTTTTCTAGACGTTAAACAAATTACAATTATAGGCGTTTTTGTTTTGTTTTTCCATAGTTCAGTCAGTGAATCAGATCTTTGGGTCTATTTTATTTTCAGATTCATTTTTTCACTCACATATTATAAAGCTTATATATTTCTTATTTTTAATATCGATTTGATGTTCTGTGTTTTTAACACAACACAGCTTGTTTAGCTGTTTCCCTTTTATAGTGCATCTGAATTAGTATCAAATTTTTACTATTATATACACCAATGATGCAAACATCTGTGTAAGATATCACTTATTTGTTTATTTTTTCAGTCATTTTTAGGCATTTTTCCAAAACCGGAATTCCTAAATGAAAAGCAAACAAACTATGGTTCATAAGCTCCTATAAGCTGCTTTCAAATGATCTTACGGAATGAACACATCAGTCAATTTGCTGTGACAACAGCCATCGGAAGTGGTTGTGCTGTCTCATATCCCTTCTAAAATGGCGCTTACTCACATTTACTCATTTTGCTACCTTGAGAAATTTATTGGATGACTTTTCATTTGTATTTCTCTAATTTCAGAAAAGGCTGCAATTTTTAATGTAGTTATTATAGGATTTATTTCTTCATATACCCTGTTTGTCTTTTAAACATTTATTAACTATGAGTTGTTGATTTTTGCTTAATCCCTTCACCCTCTCATCCAGCCCCCCCAACACCCCTCCCCTCTGACAGCTGTCAGTCTGTTCTCGGTATCTATGAGTCTGTCTCTATTTTGTTTGTTAGTTTATTTTGTTCAGTAGATTCCACATATAAAATTATATGGTGTTTGTCTTTCTCTGACTAGCTTATTTCACTTAGCATAATATTCTCCAGGTCCATCCAGGCCATTGCAAAAGTTAAGAGTTCCTTTTTTTATGGGCAACTAGTATTCCATTGTGTAAACGTACCACAGATTTTTTATCCACTCATCTACTGATGGGCACTTGAAGGATAAGTGGTTATAGAAGGAAACTTGACTTTGGATGGTGAACACACATACAATATACACATCATGTATTATAGAATTGTACACCTGACATCTACATGATTTTATTAACCAATTGGTTATCCCAATAAACTCAATAAAAATTTTAAAAAAATTTATTAACATGTGTTTATATGAAATTGTACATATTTTTGTAATAGAGACAGTAGAGGAATTGGGAGCATGACTCTGGAGCCAAATTCCTGGATTTGAATTCACTCTCTGCAGTTTCTTAGGTAGTGCACTTCAGCCAGTTATTCATTCACTCTGTGCCTCAATGTTCTCATTTGTAGAGTGATGATACTAACAGTACTCATCTGAGCTATGAAAATTAAATGGGGTATTATATGCAAAGTGCTTAAAACAGTGTCTAGCACATAGTAAGTCTATGTAAATGATTGTTTGCTATTATAAATAAGTTTTTTATTATTTTGCAGCTTTCCATTCTGTTGCTTTCTTTTTGGTATTTATTCTAAGGTACTTAATTGAATAAATAAATACATCCAAGGATGCACTTTTATTGCTAGGAAATGTGTTATTTTATAACAGCTCTCTATTTGGATTTTGTTGGCTATATGATGCTAGAGTATGGCTTCAAGTGGAGGTAATGTTAAAAATATTTAACAATTGATAGGAATCAATCAACCAGAACAAGACACCCACTAATCAGAACAGAGCCCAACAAATCAGAAGCTGGCTGGCATCAGCCAATAAGAGTATACTCACTACATGTCACCCCCATGCTCCAGTGGACTCTTCTCCGCACTGTTCACCAATTGTTCTATTAACATGGATTTAATAGCACATTTTTTTCAAAGCATATTACTTCTAACTTGCAATGTAGTCATTTCTCTTTTTAACGGGGGTATTTAAGTGGTTTAATTGTGTTCCAAACACCTGCCTTTTACCTTTTACTTCTAGTTACTTAAAACATCTAGCTATAGCTACTCTCATTAGTACCATAATGCCAGGAATAAGCAAAATCCAGCCTGCAATTCAGACTTCAAGTGGAATATTTAATGTAAGCAAGCCATTTAAGGCACACGATATACATTCAGGAATTGTTGTCACAATGCTAAAACTTTCTGATAAAATGTGAGAAAGACACTAACAAAAAACCTTATTTTTCACACATTATGAAAAATATTGAGATGTTTGGAAGGCCCTGTCTGTTTGAAATGAGCTTTTTATTTGCCATTGTATATGCACAGCCAAAGCCTCTGGTTATCAAAAAGTGCATTGACAAGCAAATAGAATACACTCCACCAGTTGGTATTGACAGAATTCTGTCATTGCAAGTGCCCACTCCATTGATCTTGGATAATATTTTTCTCTGAGCAGTGAAGAAATAAGTACAAGCTGTCTCTTTGGCTTATACATGGTTTGTACCTCCATTTCTTTTTCCACCTCTTACGTAGTTCTCAAATTTCCATAACTGCTCCTCACTACTTGTGTGATGCTGGGCATGGTGCTCTGAAAAAGTTAAATGAAAAGAAAGCGACATTTACCAATCATATTAGCAAAGATTCCAGGACAACATATTTTGAGGTCAATAATGACTTTGTTCATCACATTTTCCCCCTCCTGTGTCTTCCCTTTTGAATTTTAATTGATGTGTGTCATTGAGCGTAGATTGTCCTAAAACATTTGAATATATCTGTAGGCAATACCAAGTAGGCCACACTCTTGGAGGGGCATCCCCAGCCCTCTGAAAGGCAGACAAATAAAGTCAGCACATGATGGATGAGGTCAAACACAGACAAAAGTCATCTTAAAAGGTATGGCCCAGGTTAAGAGCAGAAAGATCAGGCCTTGACGATGGCTAATCAATTAGGTTAACATCGTCTAAGAAAGCATGTGTCGACATTGAAAATCAGGAAAATGAGTGTGAGGGGTAACATTTCAGAGTTCATGTTATCATCTGGGAGGAGGGGCCCATTCAGCAGATGGTGCAGGTGTATTCGATGCATCCCCACAGAGCAGAAGAGTATATTGGGATAAAAAAGGGGCATAGACCTGTTTCCAAATCCCAATTCCACCACTTCCCAGTGATTTCAGGCAAGTTATTATCCCTCTGGGCTTGTTTTCTCATCTGTAAAGTGGAGATGATGATACTAATAGTTACCTCATGGATAGTGAAATAAATGAATATATGAAAGCATTTAGAATGCTTCCTAACACATAAGGACTAGAGAAGTTGGTCATGAGTAAAGCCTTTAGAATCTGTCATAGAAAGTATTCGTTGATGTTAAGCTATTATTGTTTGATGCCATTAATCATACATTATCATTGTGCTTTGATGACATAGATTATCAAGTGCCTTCCCACATAGATCTACTTGGTGGGCCAGGATGAGCTGATCTAAGGCAATTGCCACTCTGTCTGATGAGGTGATTTGAGCTTTCATGAAAATTAATCTCTGATGCATATATGATTTGGCTACAATTTTGATTAGTAATACTCTCTCTGAGGAAATGACAAGATCTACTTTTTGGACCTGCAACCCTGAAAGCCAGTTAGATAGAGGTGAACCATTAAGGTTCTCTCCCTTTGCAGGCTTCTGCCTGAGTGACAAGAAGACTACAGCAAGTCACAATCATATCTTCCAGGAAACTACTTGTAATAAAACCTGTTGAGTTTGCACTAGAAAGTTCTAACAGAAACACAAAAAGGTTAGTTAATTGGTGAGCACACGCACCCCTCAGGCCAACACTTACAGACTATGAAAGTCCCAGGCCGCACAATAACTTTGAACCTGAGGATAAACATTCAGGATGATGTGCAGTTGAAGTGCTTTCCCATTAGCATCAGCTGGGACTCAAGGAGTTGCTTCTTCCAGCAAAGATGTGGCCTCCACAAAAATGTATAGTGCTATTTTTCTACTAATAGTATTTAAACACATTTTTTTGTTGTTGTTGTATCATTTGTTACATCCACGGAGTGCCCATAATTTGACAAGACTGGCGGTGTAAACATCCACCAAGCACCCTGTGGTTTGCAAGGAGTCCTACAAAAGGTCACTGAAATCTGCTGGAGACCTGCTGGAACTGTGAGGCCAGTTTATACTGAAACTTTTGCTGGGGACCCCCACTGGCAGACATGTTTTCCATGGTCTTATTAGTTTAAAATTTAATACTTTTTCAGCATGTATTGTTTTGACAACAAGCTCCCATTAGGAAAGTGAAGTAAAAACCTTGCCTCTTGCTTTCAACTGTAAGACTTTTACAGAATGGGATTGTTTGCAACCAAATGCCAAGATCATGATGCTGAAGCTGAGTGAGAGCTGCTGGCTAAGCTCCAGGGAAAGAGCTGAATGGCAACCTTGCTCCTCAGTCCCAGAGAACAGGCCCATTTACGAGTCATTAAAATCAATTAACATCAGCTCAAGGGGCTGAGAATGCCGTCATGACCCAGAGAACCAGGGTGCTGTTCTCATCACATCCACAGTAAGACCTGGAAATCTTCCTAGTCCTTGAAGATAAACAATAGGTCCCCTACTGAACCTTTCTTCTCTCTCGCTAAACATTCACAGTTCATTCCTCATTCCTCTCAAGAGAGGCTTTGGGTTCCATCATCATCTCGATAAGATTCACCCAGAAGATGCTTTAAGAGGGCCAGGTCCTCTGTAGGTTTTAATACTAAAATATAACCTACCTATCCACCTCAAGTTTTAAGCTCTCTTGGGCCCAGCCAGGAACATATAAGAGCTCCTCTGGATTCTTAGACCAAGACTAGAGCTCCAGACCCAGAATATATGGTATCTTGACCTCAGGATCCAAAGGAAGAGGCCTGATCACGGACACTTACCCAAACAAGCTGTCAGGTTACTACCTTTCTGTGTCAGCTCCAGGAGGTCTTCAGAAAGGAAACTTTGTGCTGTTTGACCAGCTTTGACAAAACAGTCAAAATTTGCCATGAATTTGTCACTCTTGGGACACTGCAAAGTCTTAAGAACACTTTTTGGAAAGCTGTCAAAATATAGAAGTTAAACTTAGAGAATAACACAAATAAGAAAGGAGTAACTCCTCGTTCCCCTCCAAGCCGTATTTTGGCAAAATTCTATTTGTTCTCTTATGGGAAGAGAAGGCTGTCAGACTTAAGGGGCCAAGCAAAGAAGAAACAGGCCATATTAAGTGAAAGAATTATTATAATTGAAGTTGAGTGCAAAATTACATCCTTCATAATTTTACACGTAAGTGAAGTGCATTTCTGTCCATGCGTGGGAAGACAGAACTTTTCTCATGTCTGACATATCAGATACCAATAACCTTTCCAGCAGTAACCGGAGTAGAAAGTTGGAATAGTCTGAAAGCTTTTTTATTGTAGCGAAACTGAGGATGTGAAAAATGCATTGTCACTCCATTATGTTGGCATCTAGGTGTGAAGAAATTGATCAACACCCCTGGAAGTGTGACTGGAGACAACAAAGCATATAAATATGTTTTAGTTCTAAAAAAGTTGAATGTGTGTGCGCATTATATGTATTTCAGAATTAAAATTTCATGATCTAAAATATTATCCTACAAAGTAAACATCAGCTAAATGAATCCAGGCACAACTTAATGAAAGTCACTATCTTCTATGCATTTGTAGCATAAGCACAAAATGGAAGTCAGAAAAACATAAGACACTGATGCTTAAGCATTTTAAAATTTTCATTGATTTTGTAAGCATTTTAACACCTCTTTTATAAAAAGTCACTGGTCGATGCAGTCTAACTACAAAATCTTTCAGCTATCAGAACTGATTACTAGAATAGGAGACAGAACTCACAAATGAGCCAGTGGGAAGGGAGTACCAGAATCCTTAACTCAGCTCTGCTCTGCTGGGTACATGACCCTTTTATTAGGCACTAGAGGCCTGATGCACGAAATTCGTGCAAGGGCCTTGGCTCCTGCTGCTGCAGCGGCCACCTCTGCTGCAGCTTTGTCCAGAAGGAAGGATGTCCGGAAGGATGCCGGTCTAATTAGCATATTATGCTTTTATTATTATAGATGGTATAGCTGATGTTCTGATTGGTCCTGAATTATTTCTGTGTAAAAGTGAAGAGCATTTTCTGAGCCATCTCTATGCTCTCTCTGAGTTTGTCCTATGACAAATGGCTTCTTGCAATTAAAGATGCAAAGATGGCATGGTAATCAGAATGTAACAAAGATGTGCAGTTCTCTATGCCAGGCTAAACAGTCTTGAAGTCAGCGTTCCTCAAAGTGGGGTTCTAGGCCACCAACTTTAGAATCCCCCGAAGGGTATCTTGTTTACAAATGGGATTCCTAAGTCTTATCCAAGACCTAGTGAACCAGATTCTCCTAGTCTGAGGACGGAAAGTAGGTCTTTGCAACAAGCCCTCCACGTGACGCTTCTACACACTAAATCCTACACACTGTCTTAAGAAACAACCCTTAAAGAAATTGCACCCACACTTGGACTTCATTTGTCCTCTGTACAGATATACCTCAGAGATATTGCAGGTTTGTTTTTAGACCACTTCAGTAAAGGAAGTATCACAGTAAAGTGAGTCAGAATCTTTTTGCTGGTGGAGGAGGGTCTTACCTTCAATTTGTAAAAAATAAAATATCAGTGAAGCACAATAAAATGAGATGTGCCTGTAAATCAGTGGTTTGAAGCCCTGGCCACGCAATAGGATCACTTGGGAGGTTCAAAGACACACAACCATGACTGCATCCCATCCCCAGAATGTCTAATTTGGTTGATTTGAGGTGAGGCCCAGGCAGCAGTATGTTCCATATGTTGTTCTAATATATAACTAGGATTGAATGTTTATAGCAGTAGATTCACAATAGTCAAATGTAGAAAACAACTCACATGTCTATCAGCAAATAAAGATATAAACTAAATGTGGTATATACGTACAATGAAATACTATTCAGCCATAAAAAGGAAAGAAATTCCAGTACATGCTACAAGTTGGATGATCCTTGGAAGCATTATGCTAAGTAAAATAAGCCAGACACAAAAGGAAAATATTGCATGATCCCACATATATGAGATATCTAGAATAGGCAAATGTATAGAGGCAGGAAGTAGAATAAATGTTACAGGGGGATGGGGGTGGGGAAGATGGAGAGTTAGTGCTTACTGGTTACAGAGTTTCTGCTTGAGGTGATAGAAAAGTTTTAGAAATTTATAGTCTTCTTAGCACATTTCTTCATGTAGACATAACCTCTGCAAAAAAAAATGCATGAGAAATTGTAAATGGAGAGAACATTTTGAGTGTATATTGCCAATTACATTTAGCAAATAATAATAAAGACATCTGGGAGTGCAGTATTAATAGTAAAGTACCCTTTGGAGCTCTGTAAATAGACATTATAAAAATCTTAGTAATCTAACAAATTCTGTATAAGATCTCAGCCTGATTTTGTTATTGGCAAAGAAATTAAAAATGAGCATCAAATTTGTTTCTCTGTCTCTTTTCAGTAATGAACATATAATGTCATCCTTGAGATAGTGAAATGAAGGAAGTCTTCAATTGAACCCTTGGTAACAACTGCAGAATATCCGTGCCACTTCAAATTCTTTTTTATAATTATAATTTTGATATTTTTCAAAGCAAATTGTTAGTGCTCGATCACATGTAATATCTAGAGTCGATCACATGCCAGGTACTTCAGTTGTGGGACTGCAGGTTTTCTGTTCCACATGATCACTAATAATGGTGATACTGTTATTTCTAGAGGACTTTCCTATACGAGTAGTTGAGAGAATTGTCTTGTTGAGCTGCACCTGTGACAGAGATGCAGCGCCAATGCTGTGCGTAAGAGAAAGAAATCTTTCAAATGTATTCCAAAGAAAGACACTTTCTTCAAACCTTTACTTACCAATATCACACACTCTCTGGCAAAACAAAATGAGCTCTGCGTCTCCTGGCATAAATGAAAAGCTTATTTTTAAATGCCATATGTTGCTACGATGCATGCTGTGTTTTTAACGATTATCGCACATGCAAGCAAAATGCTGTATTAGTTTTATATTCGTGTAATTCCTGATTATCACAAATACACACAACAAAAGACAGTTACAATGTTAGGGATTGCCAGAGCTACAAAGAATCTCAAAAAGTTCTCTAATCTGGCATCTCATCTTTACAGACAATTAAATTAAGTCATCAAAGACAGACAGTAGCATTTCCTTTTCAATTTAATAAGTATTTATGGAGGTCCACAATACGACCTATACTATAGAAGATAAATGTTAAAGAGCTTGATGTCATGCTATTCTTAAGGGATATACAATATTTTTTCAAAGAGATAGAAAATAAATAATAGTGTATTTATGTTGTGTATATCTTAGAATGGCATACTGTGAAAGTTCTCAAATTTCAACATGCCTCAGAACCCCACATTGCTAAAACACAGGTAGCTGGGCCCCCACCTCCTATTTCTGATTCAGTAGGTCTAGAGTATTGCATTTTCAATGAGTTCCCAAGTCTTGCTGATGCAGCTGGCTCCTGACTATGCTCTGGGAACCACTGCAGTAAAACAGAGGTGTTAAAGATGCAGGCCCTGGAGTTCAAGCGCAGAGTTTGAATCCTGACTGCATCATCTAGAACAAGCTACTTATTTTCACTGCCTCAGTTTACTCACCTGTAAAATGGAAATAGTAACAGTACTTACCTCAAGTGTTATTGTGGGGATTAAATGAGATAATGCTTGTACAGCAATGGAACAGTACCTGGCACATAGCAAACACACAGTAAGTGTTCATTATTGATGCTATTTCATATTAGTTCCTAAATACCAATTCTCAGACCAGTACTGGTGTGTGAATATATATAAATGATAGTATAAAGGTACAGAATGTCTTTTCTTAGGAATAATTTTCTTTTACCTTAAGATAACATTCTACCTAATTTTAATGTTGAAATATATTTATGTGTATGAAAATAATAGTAATTGGAATTGGCATTTATCTTGAATACTAAGACCTCGGTAATACCATAACATGCTCCCCATTGTAGTGTGGGGTTGAAATTGAATAAACAAATAGAGAGGAGTTAGGATTGAGAGTTTACCAAGAGGACTGTGAGAGTGTCATCCAGATGATAATACTTGGAGGCCCACAAATCTAAGAAAGGGGATGGGGAGTTCCTACCTCAATGACACTCATTTGTGGTAAGAGTAGCAGCTGTGGGAAGGGGGCAGGAGGTCAGTGTGCAAGAATGAGATGCACAAAATACAATGCTGGCTCCGTCTGACTAAGTATATGCCACTGGGTGTCCTCACTGTGGCTTCACCGAATAGGTAGGTATACAGTGCAGCACATCATCCCTGTTGCCATAGCAACTTTAAGGCAAATCTACCTGGGGACTTCACCTGAGAAGTCAGGGCCTATTGCTCTATTCTCACCACCTGATTTATGATTTTTTCTAATAAAGGGTTCAATGAGGCAGAACTAACTTGAAAATTCATTCTATTCTGCCAGAGTGGGAATGTAGGTGATCTCCTGGGCTTAGGGGATAGGCCTGGTGTGAAAGGCAAATGCTTCTGTCCTGGCTACCCTGGTCCGTGTTCAATTAGCAGGAAAAATACACTTAAGCCGCGTGAAGCTCTCAGAGATAAAGTACAGTATTTCTGCAGATACTTTGACCTAATTGTGTTAGCCCTAATTAACCACATTCTCATGTCATTCGATGAGAAAGAACAATTCTAAGCAAAGATTTTAAAGAAACATTTTGTTAAGGTCTATTCCAACCTCGTTAGATAACGCTCAGGAATTGGAATCAGGGAGATGGTAGAATTCAGGAGAGGAGTAAGCGTTAGTGGTGTGTTTGGGGCCCACTAATAAGAAATAACCCACTCAACATCACTAAGCATCCCCGTTTGAGCATAAACATGGCTCCCCAAGTTAGCACGGCTAAGGACCTGCTTCAAGGTAGACAGAACTCAGTAACTAAATGTCATGGAAAAGCACTGTCTTGGGGAATGGGAGAAAACATCAGCAAACCATATATCTGATAACGGGTTATTGTTTAAAATATATAGGGAACTCCTACAACTCAAAAGCAAAAAAAGGAAACAAACCCAAATAACCCAGTTAAAGAATGGGCAAAAGACCCAAATAGACACTTCTCCACCATATCAATGGCCAAAAGGCATATGAAAAGATGCTAATATCACTAATCATCAGAAATGAAACTCAAAGCTACATTACCTCATACCTGTCCATTGAGGAACCAACTGGGTGGGACACACTTCAAAACTGTCCCTTCAAAGAGCTGCTTTTAATCCACTGTGGCTGCGCCTGGCAGACCAGCTACTCAGGGAGCTAATTGGCTGAGGGCCCAGGGCCGGTGCAGAGAAATTCCTGGCCACATGTATGCCGAGACCACTCCTCCCACGGGCTGCTCCCTCTAATAACCTGGTGTGGCGGGGATACGGAGGCGGACCTGTTCCTGAGCCACGTGGACTCCTTTCTGGGAGACTTCGGCGTGAGGACTTCCTGACGGTGCTCCCACCATGTAGGATGCACCCACCAAATTCCTGGTCAGGGATTTCCTCAGGTCAGACTTGCATCGGGGTCTCACCGTTCTCCCAGCTTTCCTGGCCCCTTCCTATGTCCTTTCACAGGTCATTTCCCTTTTCAATCCCCCCTTAGCATCTGCTTCTCTGATGAACCAAGGAAACTCCTCCCCCACAGCCCACCACTCCTTGGTTGATGGTCGCACATGGGAGCTTTAACTGTCCAGCATTTTCAATGAGGCCCAGGCACTGGCTCCGTGTCTGAGGAGCAGCAGACCCCCGCAGGCCAGGAGATGCAGGAAATCTCCCAGGAGGGGACTGTCAGTGGCTCCTGGGTGAGCATATGGGCAAAGCGTTCACAGTGACCGTGTTTGCTCCAAGCGTTATGGTTTGGTTATCTGCGCAAGAGTGCACATAGGCTGTTGTGCTCTGTGAACGTGACCAGGGGAAAGGAGGGCTTTAGGCAAGGAGATTCCCAGGCATCTGTTGGGAAACATAAATATACTCCACGATTAGGGTGACTTTGCTTTTACCTTTTCCACTGTATCTGGAGGTTTATTTCATTTTCTTCCTGCTCCTTTTCTCAGGACTTCCCAATTTGACTGGTGGTTATGGATGAAAATGGGAAATGCTTCATGTTCAGCACATTTACATCTTCTGGTAACAAAAAAGATGTAAGAAGACTTTAAAGAGGAGCTCTTAGCAATGAGTCTAATAGGAGGCATTTAATAGTGTTAGTTTTCTTCCAATTCAGCCCCCTGGGGACAAAGGACCATATGCATAATAGGTAAGGTGCTGAGAGTCATATTCCTTGTGTGGTCATAACCAGGATCCAAATGATGTAATTATATGAAAGCACTGCTGTAAACGTAAAGGGCAAATAGATGTTAATTTGAGATCTTTGCAACTCATTATTGCACTGGTTCAGCTGGACCATGGGTCAAGGCAAATTCTCAGAAGCAGGACACCTGCAAAGAAGAAAATTTTCCTAGAACATGGTTAGTATATAATATAACATAATATTTTCTTTGAAGTGTGTGTTTCACTCTATTACCTTACTTTAAACACAACTTAAAACTCCTTTATGATATTCAGACAATAAAAGCAATTTTTAGCTATCAAGAAAACATTCCATTCCATATGTCAGACAACATACCATTGGTTGTAATTCCAGCATCCCTGAATGTTCTACATTTATTTGTAATTTAATAGAATCAATCTTCTGCCTTTGGGATATTATAGTACAATTTCATGTGTACCATTAAAAATATAGTTGATATATTCTACAGCCTGACTAGCTGCAAATGTAGAGAAATTATTGATGCTGCATGATCAAATGAAGAAACATGAAACCTAAAGAAAAATGAAAAATCTAATTTAAAAGAATGGAAAAGGCAGAGATAAAATCAGGACAGTGACTGATCCAGCACCATGCACTAATATATCTTTTTTACTTTTTCTTCTTAAACTGAACAAAAGAGGTAGGTCAGAATTTGCATTGGTGGGAATCACTCAGATCAAGAGATAGGAAGAAGGAGATACATATATTATCTGGTCAATTTTACCAGCTACAGTTCAATTCCTCAATGGTTCATCTGTCTTTTCTGAGCCATATTTGAACAAAGGTGACCCTCAGAACTCGTTACAAGATCTTGTTATTTGAAAAACATTTTATTTTTATATTTTCTTGAGACAGCCTCAAAGATTAATGTCTAAAATAAACACAGCTGTTGAAAAATTTTAAAGATACAATCAGAAAAGTAATTCAACATGTCCCCAATGCTTTTAACTCCAGTGATGAAATTCTAATCTGTAACAAACTTAGAAAAAAGCAGCAACAATACTCTTATGTTTTCATTCCTCCTTCTGTATGTCTCAGCTAACAACTTTAGCTTAAATTTCGCCCAAGGCAGATTAAATTAAACTTCACTAGAATTCTGTAGGCATTCTCCTTCTCCCCTAACCATTCTAAGGAATACAGTTGGCACAAATTAAACTATTAAAGATGTCTCAGAGTACATAACCCAGGGACACAGACAATAGTGTGGCGAAAGTCTGGGAGGGGTGGGTGTGGGGTGGATGGGGTCAATGGGGCAAAAACAACCAAGGGAACATCTGTAATACATTCAACAATAAAGATACATTTTTTAAGTGTGTCTCAGATTTATCAGAATAATGCAATGCTATTTAAGCAAGAACAAAAAAGGGGCTCGGGAATGCTTAAGTCAGAGTCAGTTCTATTCGAGGCTCTACTATTCATTTTTTTTAAAAATCATTTGACCTTTGACCTTTCTTAGCTTCAACTGAGAAATGAGAGGGTTTAACTATCCCTGAATTCTAAAATACCATGTTCATATACCTTCAGTTTGTCTTATAATTGCTAATTGTCTGTGTCATCACTAGACTCGTCTGTTCTTACATTTACTGGTAGCCCAATACACAGCTCATAGTAGGTACTCAATTAATGTTTGTTGAATAATTACATGCAAGTAAATATAAGTCTCTCTCATTTTCTCTCCCCTCAAAGATGTGTTCAGTGAGAATATATGTTCGCTAACTAAATATGATAACTTGTCTAACTGATTGTCATGGATGCCCAGCATGCCTGAGACCTCAGGAAACATCAGGATAATCCTATATAATAAAAGCCTAATATGCAAATCGACCAAACAGTGGAATGACCAGTTGCTCTGATGTACACTGACCACCAGAGGGTAGCTTCTGCATTGAGCTGCCCCCAGGTGGTCAGTGTGCTCCCACAGAGGGAGCGCCGCTCAGCCAAAAGCTGGGCTTATGGCTGGCAAGCACAGCAGTGTGACAGGAGCCTCTCATGTCTCTGCTGCAGGCGGGCAGTAAGGAGTGAGGAGTCCTGGACTGTGAGAGCCCCAGACTGCAAGAGGGATGTCTGACTGCTGGCTTAGGCCCAATCCCCAATACACAACTCAGAGTAGGTACTCAATTAATATTTATTGAATAATTACATGTAAATAAATATAAGTATCTTTCATTTTCTCTCCCCCTAAAGGGCGATTGGGTTTAAACTGGCAGTCGAACATTCCCTGAGGGGTCCCCGAGAGGGTACAGGCTGGGTTGAGGGCTCCCCTCCCCCAGTGCACAAATCTCATGCACTGGGCCTCTAGTATGAAATAAAAGGCATGTCTGGGTGTCTGGGTATCTCCTTACATGGGCAACAAATTTAAGGGTTAAATCCTTAAATAACATGGGAATTGCATGCTTTTGTTTCTTACTAAGTGTAAATCCACAACTCTTTAAGAATTTGAAGACCTAAATCACTCTGTTGAATTTATCAAATATTTAGAAGAGTACCATGCTCCCCAGGAAAAGACTGTTCGGTGCTATGTCTTGCATATATAATTTGACATCTTGTTGCAACATCAGAGTGTTGTGCTAAGCCACGACATGCTCTTTTGGAATAATAAATGATGATAGGATTGAGCACCTCAGACAAATTTTCAAGTTTTATAAATATTTATGAAAATGAAGTCCACAAAAGTTTATATCCTAAACTGGGAAAGAAATGCTGGCCCTATGCTAAATTAAAATATTTGGCCATATTTGGGAGGCACTAGTATATGTATAATTTTTGTCTTTGAAAATGAATGAGGTAGCTTCACATAAGGTATTACAAGGTGATAAAAATACTATTGGAATTATCCCACCTAAGTCTAGGGGAGTAAAACTATTCTGTATGATACTGTCATGGTAGATATGTGACATTTTGCATTTGACTAAACCCTTAGGTTGAACCCTAATGTAAACACAAAAGGTGAACGCTGAGGTAAACTATGGACTTTAGTTCATGATAATCAATAATGGCTCATCAATTGTAACAAATGTACTACATTAATATAATCTAATAACATAACATAATAAAAGGCTAAGTGACCGACCGTCCATCCATCCATCCGAACATCCAACCAACCCACTGGCTGGTACATGTGACGGGCACTGGCAATTCAAAAATAAATGTTGACTCGCTGGCATTAATTGTGCGCCCGTGTTCTTGAAGCTGAAGTGTTAACATGACCTGCAGAAGGAGAGGTTGTTCTGATTCCAAGAATTGACTTGTCCCCATCTGACATTGGCTTCCCATTTAAATTAATTCAAAGATAGTTTCCCATGATGCCAGCATTTGTGATGACTATTAATAAATCACAAGAACAAACTCCAGACAGAATAGCAATATTCCTACCTAAACCCATTTTCGGACATGGTCAGTTATATGTTGCTTTCTCTCGAGTTTGAAGAGCGTGTGACGTTAAAGTTAAAGTTGTAAATACTTCATCACAAGGGAAATTAGTTAAGCACTCTGAAAGTGTTTTTACTCTTAGTGTGGTATACAGGGAGATATTAGAATAAGTTTAATTAATTTATCAGTCATTGTTTTATCAATGTTTTTATATCATGTCTTTGTTGTTGTTATATCATGTTGTTATTGTTTATTTACTAATCAATTTATATATTATTTTCATATATATTTTACTAATTTTCTTTCATCTCTGACACTTATATTATAGAGAAAGGGTAAATAGCGATATTAAAATATTTCTTCTAATTAATTTCTCTTCAATGTGCACGAATCTGTGCACTGGGCCACTAGTATGTTAATAATAATGGAAACTGAGTGATGGATAGAGGGATTAGGTGGGAACTTTCTCTGTACTATCTACTCAGTTTTCTGTATACCTAAAACTGCTCTACAAAGAAAACCTATTAATTAAAAAAACAACAACTATTAAAGCTATTCCACCTAAAGCCATTCACTCAGCAAATTTCTATATCAACAATGAGCAAAATGGTTCATTTATATCATGAATGGTGATTATGCCCAAAGATAATGATGATTGTATATGAAGTATTTTGACATGACAAGTTCTTTACTGGCTCCAAACCCTGGGTATAGAATACGAAGAGTCTTTATAAAGACCTACATTAATCTTTAAGGAGCAGCCTTCTCATTTGGTACCTTACACTTAGCTCTGTCAAATTCTGCATAGCTAAAGAATAGATTCAGAAGAAGATGTCAACTGTTCTGATAATGTAAAACAAACAGAACAGGTATCATAATAATACAGCAAAATGTCAGAGCACAGAAGAGCTAGAAGGAACCAAGGATACGACCCAGGTTAGCCCCCTCTTCTTAGGTAAGAAAAAAACGAGATACAAATATAAGTCCCTGTGACATGAAAGGCCTATGGAAAAGAATTATTCTGGTCAAATTATAGGAATACATGAGCTATTTCCCGAGCAACAGATTAATATTTAACCTGTGATCACCGTGAAGTTTATAGGCAATTGCATTTCCATTTTCATTTGGCTGCAAGAAAGTTCAGCACCAGATTTGTGGCCCGTTTCCAGGAGGTTTATAGGTTAAATCTTACTCCTGCCTAATCTTGCTTTCTGACTCATCTATGAAATTTTTTGACTTATTGCTCTCTTGCTGTATTGAATGTGAGACAGATGACCTTAAACAGTCCCTCTCCTGGCTCACTCTCTAATTCCCTTCCCTTCAATTGGGGAGAAATATGTGGATTAGAAGAAAACATTTCAAAAATGCTGATCCAAGGGAGATTGTTTTAGA